GAGGGAAAGCCATTGGTCAATCAGCGAAAAGGAATGCTACGCCATTGTGTACGCGCAGGAAAAGCTACGCCCATATGTTTGGGGACGGCGTTTCCAACTACAAACAGACCATGCTGCGCTACAGTGGCTTCATACCGCCCAGGGGAATAACAAAAAACTTCTTCGGTGGAGTTTAGCTCTCCAAGATTTTGATTTTGAAATACAACACATTTCGGGAGCTTCTAACGAAGTGGCTGATGCACTCTGCCGGGAAAGTTTCCCAGAGTTAACTGATTAACAATTGTTCTTGGAATGAAACATATTGTTAGTTTTTATATAATCAGTAGTATGTCTAAAGGTACATGTGTCTTATTAACTCTGTTTTCTCCTAGAACTCCAGGAAGAAATCACAGCCAGTGTGGAATTGAACGTCCAACACTATCTGTGATCTGGGGGGCGTGTCATAACTATAAAGGAAAGGGTAACAGCTGTCCTGTGTACAGTACTATAAAATCCCTCCTGGCCAGAGACTCCAAAATCCTTTTCCCTCTAAAGGGTTAAGAAGCTCAGTTAACCTGGCTGGCATCTGACCTAAAGGACCAATAAGGGGACAAGATACTTTCAAATCTTGGGGGGGAGGCTTTTGTTTGTGCTCTTCGTTTTTGGTGGTTGTTCGCTCTTAGGACTGAGAGGGACCAGACATCAATCCAGGCTCTCCAAATCTTTCTGAACAAGTCTCTCATATTTCAAACTTGTAAGTACAACCAGGCAAGGCGTGTTAGTTTATCTTTGTTTTCTCAACTTGTAAATGTTCCTTTTACTAGGGTGTTTACTTCTGTTTGCTGTAACTTTGAACCTAAGGCTAGAGGGGGGTCCTCTGGGCTCTTTAAGTTTGATTGCCCTGTAAAGTTATTTTCCATCCTGATTTTACAGAGATGATTTTGACCTTTTTCTTTAATTAAAAGCCTTCTTTTAAAGAACCTGATTGATTGTCCTTGTTTTTAGATCCAAGGGGGTTGGATCTTGATCCACCAGGAGTTGGTGGGAGAGAGGAGGGGGGATGGTTAATTTCTCCTTGTTTTAAGATCCAAGGGGTTTGGATCTGTATTCACCAGGGAGTTGGTGAAGTCTCTCTCAAGGCTACCCAGGGAAGGGAATCTAGGGTTACCATATTTAAAAAATAAAAAAAGAGGACACTCCACGGGGCCCTGGCCCCACCCCTTTCCCACCCCTGGCCCTGCCCAACTCCACCCATTCCCCAAAGTCCCCACCCTAACTCCCTCTCCTCCCTCCCAGCCACGCGGAAAGGGCTGCCTGAGCGCTACCGGCTTCACGGTTTGCCGGGCAGCCCCCAGCCCCTGCGCCCCCGGCCGGCGCTTCCCCAGCGCAGCTGGAGCCCGGGAGGGGAAGTGCCCAGCTGGGGGCGCAGGGTCTGGAGGCTGCCCGGCAAACCGTGAAGCCGGTAGCGCTTGGGCTTCGGGCAGCCCCTATGCCTCCGGACCCTGCGCCCCCGGCCGGGCACTTTCCCTCCCGGGTACCAGCTGCTCTGCTCCCGCGGCGCAGGGTCCGGAGGCAAGGGGGCTGCCCGAAGCCGGTAGCGCTGGCTCGGGCAGCTCAGCTCTTAAACAGAGCCAAAGTCTGAGTCAGGGGAGGAGCAGAGCAGCCGCGGGAGAGGAAGTGCCCGGCCGGTATTTTTCCCGGACATGTTCCGCTTTTTGGCAATTCCCCCCGGACGGGGGTTTGATTGCCGAAAAGCCGGACATGTCCGGGAAAAAACGGACGTATGGTAACCCTAGGGAATCCACTTGGGAATGGTGGCAGTGGACCAGATCTAAGCTGGTAGTTAAACTTAGCAGTTTTCATGCAGGTCCCCACATCTGTACCCTAAAGTTCAGAGTGGGGAAGGAGCCTTGACAGGCTGCCATTGCTGGTACCTTAGTCACAGCCACCTCCGCCTGCAACGTAAACATTGTAAATAACCCCGTGCAGCTGTGTGCTGTGTCAAAGATGACTTGTGTCAAGCTCCTGTCTTTTACAATCGCTCCCCAGGGGGGCCCTCAAAAGCTTAATCTGGCCCTGCAGGGAGGGGCTTGGCTGGCAAATCCTGGTGGAGGGGGTCCGTGACTGCCCCCCCATTCCTCTGCCCCATGCATCGCCTTGGATATTCTGAACAGGAAGTGCTCTCAGCAGGGCCGGCTCTAGCTTTTTTGCTGCCCCAAGCAGCAAAAAAAAAAGCGCTGCCCCCCCGAGCCCCCCAGCCAAGCGCTGCGCCGCCCACCCCCCCAGCCGAGCGCCGCTGGAAAACCCCCCCCCAGAGCGCTGCCTCCCCGCCGAGCGCCGCGCGCCGGAGTCCGCCCCCCCGAGCGCCAAGCCCCATGCTGCCCCCCTCGCCCAGCGCCACCGGAACCTCCCCCCCAGAGCACCGCCCCCCCGCCAAGCGCTGCGCCGAGCCACCGGAGCGCCCACCCCCACAGAATGCCGCACCGCGCTCCCCCCACGCCCCTTACCAGGTGCCGCCCCAAGCATGTGCTTGGGTGCCTGGTGCCTGGAGCCGGCCCTGCTCTCAGCTTGGCCTGGACCCCTGCTTCCCTGGTGCTGGGCCCCACCGGGGGTAACTCATAGAGCCAAAGCAGCTGAGACGGGAACAGCCCGGGATGCTCGACCCTGGTGAGATGCTGAACACTGAGCTCAGCCGCGCTTGTCGCTGCTTCCCCAGCTTCACACGGACCCAACAGCCAGTCTGGGCTTGAGTGACATTCCTGGAACCTTACTCTACAGATGTAACAATGTGTGTGCATTGCTGGGCTGGGACACCCAGCACCCTCCCCGCGCTAACCTCCTGGCCCTCTCCACCCACCACCACCACTGTGAGCTGGGATAGAACCCAGGAGTCCTGGCTCCCAGCTTCCTCCCCTCCCCACAACTGTCAGACCTCTCCCAGGTGCCCGTCTGGCTCCTTGCTGTAGTAGCTGTGTATGGTACAAACTCTCGACCCGCAGGGCTCTCTGTATCCCTAGGGAGGCTGGGGCCAAGGACTGGGCTTTCCATGTTGGACATTAGGAAAAAGTTCCTAACTATCAGGGTGGTTAACCACTGGAACAAATTGCCTAGGGAGGTTGTGGAATCTCCATCTCTGGAGATATTTAAGAGTAGGTTCGATAAATGTCTATCCGGGGTGGTATAGACAGTATTTGGTCCTGCCATGCGGGCAGGGGACTGGACTCGATGACCTCTCGAGGTCCCTTCCAGTCCTAGAATCTATGAATCTATGTATTTAGTGCGGAGGGCACTGGGCTCTGCGGGCATTTTGCTGGGGGCTGGGTGCCAGGCCCATAGGTGCAGGGCTGGGCCCCACGCTCACGAGTCTCATGCTGGTGCTGACGGCGCCGGTGTTCAGTGGCCAGGAGCTTTGGTGGGAGCTGGGCAGGCGGAGGGGGTTGAAGGCCTGACGCCTCCAGCCTGGCTCTGCTTTCACCAGGGAGACAGGGCAAAGCAGCGCCCCGGGGAGCCTGTGCGCGCCAGCCAGTTAGCGTGGACGGGCTGCGGCCGTTTGAGCCAACCGGAGAAGCTCTACCACCCGTGGCTTGGCCTGCGGCGCTGGCTGGACAGGCCTTGCCTCCATGTGACCTCTACAAGTTCTCTCCTTGGTTGTGTGGCCATAGCACAAGCAATATTAGGGCAGGTAGGGTGTTCGCTCACGGCACTAGCCAGCCAGCAGGGGGTGCTGACAGCCTGGTTTGGGTGGGCTCCTGTTGGCATTGGCTGGCTAGTGGCCGTGTAACCCACACACCAGCTGGGTGTGGTGTGTGTCCCATCTAGTGGCACCGAGACCACTCAGAGAGCGAGATTAATGAGTCTGCGCCACAGCCTTAGCTAAGGGCCCTGTGGCTTTTAGCTCATGTAGTAGAAGCTCACGCACTAAACTCCACAGGTCCCTCGTTCGATCCTGTCTGCCGGTGACCGCCAGCGTTACAGCAGCTCAAACTTCTCCTTTGTTTTTACCACCAAGGAGGAGGAGCAGGCAAACGGAACAGAATTCACTGCAGGCCTCGAACAGAGACAGCCCCGAAGGAATCAACACAGTCAAGCGATGGAAGAGAAGGTCTTTATTGTATTCAATCAGTGCAAAAAAAACACACACAGGGAGAGAATGGAGGTTAATGGCCAGCTGCTAATCTCTCCCCAGACCCCGCATCTGATTTTGGGAAGTGAGACCCCATCAATGCTGCCACCCATTACGGTGGAGAGTAAAGGTGGGTCTAGGGTAGCTGACAGACATCCCTTCCTCCCAAATGATAGCCATTAATCCCATTAACGATGGGCTTGTTGCACGTCCTGCCTGGACGGTGGATCTCAAGATGTTAAGGGCAGAGGGGCCCATAATGATCTCATCTGACTGGCTCCATCAGACGGCCCAGAGGATGGCACCACACTAGAGCCAGCCCTGCTGTGGGAGACAGGAGCTGGGTGAACCCAGCTATCCCAGCCAGGGGCGGCCTGGCCGTGTTCAGAAACGGCTCCTGTTCCTCACTCCCAGGCCTGGTGCTGGCTCAGCCCTGGGGCAGGTACCGCAGGAGGCCCCCCTGACAGGGAAACAGGGAACGAGGAGGGGGTATTGGAGAGAGTTACAAACCAAGCCAGGAAGTGATTCCTGCGCCAGGAGGATGAGGGTCACAGTCCCACCAGCAGGGCCGGCTCTAGGCACCGCTCCTCCCCCCCCCAGCCGGTCCCCCTGCACCCACGGTCTGGCCACGTCGCAGGTTTTTTTTTTTTTGCTTGGGGCGGCCAAAAAGCCAGAGCTGGCCTTGCCCACCGACTCCGAACAGGACAGCGATTAATTATAAACATTAACGTTCTAAAAAAAAATTACAGCCACCACCATGTACATCACACACAAGCCGCTACGGTTCAGGTTTCTATCGCATTGTCTACAGGGCAAGAGCAGGAGGGGGCAGGGCACAAAGGCAGCAAAATGCCTCCGCTTTATGATTCACTGTCAGTCCTTCCAGTGACACCGTGTGTCAATCATTTCATCAATTAGCAAAGCCAGCAGCAGGGAGGGGCTCAGAGACACTCGGGGCCCACAGAGGAGACGGGAAGGGGCTGATTAGCGACTGCAGAGCTTCGATCTGTGCTGGTTTCTTCGCCCTGGGATCCCCCAGGCCCCGTTACGCTGCACAAAGGAAGCAGAGAGAGAGTCAGGATTGAGCCCAGAGCAGCAGCCGGGCAGAGAGGGGCTCGCTGCAAACGGGGGAACAGAGCTCCTGCCCCGCAGGTCCTGCTCCAGAGAGCGAATCCCAAACCTGCCCATTGGGCTGTGAGCCCCCCCCCCGCCTTTACCCGACAGCGTCACTCCCAGAGGAGCCCAGCGGGGGAGGTCCCAGGGCAGCCGGGCCCCGTGCTCCTCCCAGGGGGCTCTGACCTTCAGGGAGATTGTCCACAGCGTCTAGCCTGGTGCAAGGTAACGAGCCAGCAGCCTTCGTGGACTGAGAGCTGGGTCTCCCCCAAGAGCAGCAGCAATCGG